CTCCCCGGTGCCCGCACCCCCGGGCCGAACGAGCGGGGCTGGATCGCCGCGGGCGGCAGGAGCCGCTCCGGGGCTGGGGCTGAGTCCGGCGCTGCCGCTCCTGCTCCGGCCGCTCCCGCTGTGGCACCAGAGCCCGCCGGGGCTCGGTCCTGCTCCAGCCGCTCATCCGACACCTGCCGGGGGAGACTGCACGCTGTCCCTGCTCTCCTCCACTTTCTCTGTGCCTCGCACTCTCCCATGGAAAAACCTGTGAGTTTAAAAAGCCGGTGAAACCTGTTTGCTCTTTATTTCCAGAGCACAGGAGGTTCTGACTTGGAAAGAGCCACGAGGATCATCAAGTCAAACGATGATGAGTGACTGCCCCTTGTGGGGACTGAATTCAGAATCTTGGCTTTCTCAGCATCCTGCTGCAAGCACCTGAGCCAATCTCGGGGTCATGAGGAAGGTCCTGCCAGGGATGGGAATGGCTGCTACCAGCAAGGGAATTCCTATTCAAAGGCAGCTCCTTCTTTCCTGCTAAAGCTGCTTTATACACCAGCACTTGGCATGACAGCACAAAACTCTTCCAATAATCCTGGTTTCCTGCCCTTTCCCAGATTTACCCAACATCTGTAAAGGTGCGCATTCCATGTCCCTTTCCAGGGAGAAATTAGCAGGACAAGTCCTAAGGGTTTACTTGGTCCATGGCCAGAGTTCTTCTGGACAGTGTCAGGGCTGGTCCCGCCTGCAGAGGGGCGTTTCCTGCAGGTGAGTGTTCACAGCCCAAAATCACGGCAGCTGCTGGGGCAGCTTTTCTGGCCCGGAGCTGCACGGAGCCCTTGGTGACTCCCACTCACTGCCAGGAGCGTTCCTTGGTGTTTCCTCCGTGTGTCCCAGCTGGCTGGGAGGGGCTGGCAGCCCCAGGAAGGGAACCAGCACCTCTTGTCCTCGGTGTTTGCAGGGCAGGAGCTGTGCCTGCAGTGTCCCACCCGCGGCACGCAGCGTGCCAAGCGCACATCCCGGGGATGGGCGCTGGGATTCCTGGGCAGTGCTCGGATGGACGTGGATAAAGGGCTGCCAGCGGCTCCTCGGCCAGGGGCTGCTCCGAACGGGCACCTGGAGATGCTTCAGCCCGGACAGACCCCACCCACAGCCCAAAAATACCCCAAGCTGGCACTACTGGGAATGTCGGCACGGTGCATTTGTGGAGAGGCTCAGACAGCAATTCCTGGTGCCGACCTCCTGGAGCTCCCACACACCCCCAGGTATGACCCACCCACCCCAAATCCCTTCCAGCCCAGGGACACCATCCATCAGCAGCATTAAAGCCAAGGGAACCTTCCCTCATACAGAAATTAAACTCTGAGCAATAACCCTCAAAGATGCCTTAAAATAAAAGGTTACAGTGGGATGAAGTTTTGTTTGGATGAAAGTTGGAGTTCTTGAGGGAGCCAGCTGGAACTACAGAACTTGATGGAGAGCTTTCACAGGAGGGTACCACTGGAGGTGTGCTCCAAGGGCAGAAGCAATCCCAATGTTGTCAGAGCTCTGGGAAAATAGACCGAGCAAAGTAAGGTAATTCATCCTCATTTTCTGCTGATCAAAGACAGATGGAGGGCTGAAAAGCATTATCTTTTTCTCTTCAAACTTGTGTACTCCCAAGTGAATACTGGTTACATTCTGACATATTTAGAAATATTAGAAAAAACCAAGAGATTGTGGACAGAAATGATGCTTTTTCTCCCCTCTTTAAAAATTCACAAAAATGACTGGTTTTGCAAACAAACATTTCTCCACTCAAGACTTTCCCACCAACTTCATTAAACAGAGGTACATCACAAAGAGACACCTGTTAAACAAAATAGTACATAAATACAACTGTTTCCTGCTGGTGGTGAGAAAAATGGTGCAAACCAAAATACTCTGTCCTTTACTTCCTCCATTAGAAACTCTTACACAAATTAATCTTTTTTTTTTCTTTTTTTTTTTCCACGTTATTTTTAATACCCTTTCCCCCTTGCATTTTAAAATTTCCAATAACTTATTTTGGGGCAACTACACTTTCATTATACCAATCAGTATTTCAGGACAATAACATTACACCATCTTTGTTCATGGCTTGTGTTAAATACAGTACAGAGAGACCAAATTATGGCCAGCCACATGCCTTTGGTAAAATTAAAATCTGGTGAGATCATGTTTTCTTCAAACTCAGAAAGCCACATGTTGAACCCATGTCATGTTTTGAAGTTCAATTCTATACAAACTTCTTCTTCAAAGCAAAGTTAAACAGCTGTCACCCCACGCAAATGGCAATTTCTGAGCTGCTCCAGAAAAGAGATGAAAGGTTTGAACTTCAGAGAAGCTCTTCACGTGCCTTGATCTCCATTAGATTTGTGTTTCAGTCGGGGGCAGAAAGTCTAGTAAATATTCACAACCCTACAAGTCAAAACAGTGATACCAGTGATAAATATTCTCAGTTTTAAAAAAACTTTCTGTAGTAACACATGTGGCTCATTTAAGCAACTGACGGTCTTCTCCTTTGAGGCGTTTTTTCCGGGGCTGTACAAAGTCATCATCTGAGTCATCATTAAGTTCTGGATTATCTTTTTCACTCTGGCTGTTTGGCTGTACAGGGAACTTCCTCTCAGGATAAAGGTTCCTTAGAAGATCTTCAAAGTAGGCTTCAAGTTTCATGCCAGCATCAGCCACTTCTGAATCAGGCTGTTGGGTGAATTAACAACATCAGTGCATCGTGAAATAGCTTTGTACTTAGATCACATTAGGTCTATCAGGTACAAACTACAGAGAACATCACTCAGCAGCAAGAATGACTATGGAGCACAGGGCCCCAAAGAGCACAAAAACTCAGAGTGAGGGCAGGTGACCACAGAAGCCACTCACAAAAACCACACCACCCAGGTTCTGAAAGCTATACAAAAATTCTAAGAACTCCTAAATCCTGACTGGGTGGGAGCAGAGGGGCAGAGTTGTGTTGTGCTTACAGATCTTTTTAGTAACACTGAAAATATTACTTGGTAGACAATGACTGTAATGTGGAGCACTGAGCATTCCTGAAGTCACCACAGCCACCACAGTTATCGGTTTCCTGAGGCAGAGATCACCAGTTTAGGGATAATTCCTGTCTAGGGTGACTGGATGAGAACACCACAGAGGCCACTTGGAGAAGCCTTTATTCAAACTGTAATTCTCTCATTTTGTGGTCCATTCAGAACCTGCATCCCTATTTCACCACGTGTTCCCTTATGTGCAGTATAGTAACAATTACTTAACATGTGACTTGAAATCATAAGGGTGAGTACAGAGCTCTCAGAATGAAAATCCCACTGAATTTAAGATCTGATGCAAGAAGGACTAAAGCAATTTTTAGATCATAATGCCCACTATTAACCTGTATGATAAAAAAACCTGTCCTTTTCTTTATCTGCTGTCCTGCCATTCAGCTATGTTTGTTACCATCCTCCTCCCTTCCATGAAAAGATCTCCACTGCAGAGTTATCTCAGACCACAGCAGTGTCAAATCTGATCTGCTTTCGCTGCAGTCTCATCATCAAAGTAAGTTTAATACAACAAGTTCTTGTGTTGTAAGTTCTACCCCCATTACAATTTTCCTGAAAACAATGAAGCCAACAAAACCTGATAAAGTATCTACTTTTCTAACCTCATTAAATTCAGCACAGTTTTGGAAAATCAGTCTGAAATCAGCCACAAAATCTTCTGGTTTTGTGTAGAATGAATTGGTCACTTCAAGTCTTTTCTTGATGGTTGACAAGTCCATAGGCTTCTTGATTATTTTGTAATAATCTGGGACCTAAGTAGAAAAAAAGAAGTCTAAAATGCAATCATGTTCATAATTTATTGTTTTCTAAACCTTTAGATTTGAGAGAGTGGGGAAAATTTAGTCTCATCTTCAAAGGACAACTCAAAGATACAAGAATTGCAGTTTTAATATACATGCAGACAGTTTCTGGAATAACAGTGATGTATGACAATTTGTTGGCTAAAATATACTCCTTTCAATTCCTATTTTAAAATTAAAGAGAAACACATAAAACTTCCACTGACTGCATATAATAGAGCCAATGAGTTGCTTTGGACATTATTTTCAGGTGTAGTCAAATAAGCTATCTATTAAGTTTCATTCTCAAGACCACCATATGAAGTAAGTCCTTTGAAATGGTGGCATATTCCAGAGACCTCAATGGTTTTCATAACCAAACTGTGGTTGTAGGATTAAGATTTATTTTTTTTTCTTTAGGAAGAAAAAGTAAATAAAAATGAAAACCAGTGGTAATATATTTATATTTTTTCCTACTTTCTCCTAACAAGATTCACATTTTTAATACCTGAATTTAGTAACACATGACCATAATATGAATAAGTCGTTAATCTCTTACACTACTTATTATTAAACTCTCTAGAATGTTCTTCAGAATTGCTATGCAAATGGAATGAAGGCTGCATAAGAACATACTACTTTTTGATGAACTCCTTTGTCTTTCTCCACTGACTCACTACTGATCTTTTCATCTGATCATGGTGGTAGCTCTTTGTATCCTTGGACTTCTAATGCACCCAGGTACTGTTTATCATTTTAAAGTAACAAATTTCAAGTCAATAAGAAATTCAATTTCATATTAGTACTAAAGTACCCCAATTCTCAAAATTAGGTAATGTTTAAAACCCCCAAATATATCCCAATTTACCTTCCCAGTAATGTAACTCAGGATATGAAGTTAGCAAAGTTAGAACTTACTTTTTGTAACTATTTTTAAAGTATGAAGTAAAATCAGTTATTGTGGAATAATTTACTTGTAAATCCCCTGCCAACCCAATGCTTCAGCTTTTAACTTCCCCCTTCAGCCAGTTTGAATAAAACAACACGTTTAATGCACTGAATGTCTGTGGAATTTGACTTATGATAATGGACTTTAGAATGCCATTAGATACACGGCAAATATGCTGCTAACATAAAATAGAAACAAGTGAGGTACATACTGTGGGAGGAACTGGATCTTGAAAGGCAGGACTCATTTCGTGACAGTAGAGGTATAGCAGCAGTCTTTCACACTTCTGTGGCAAGAAAAACAGATACCAAGTAATTCAGAAATCCTGTACAGTTTATTCTAAAATCACAAACTACAGGAAATACAGAACTCAGTATTCCACCTTTTTCTTTGTGTATATAAATATGTTAAAATGGATCTTGAGCCTTGAAAGAGATTCTAAAAATCCTTCTGTGTGATTTTATGCTTGCTGATCCCTTATCAGAACCTTTACAAAGCTTATAACTTACATTTAATACAAATAGAGCTCCTACACACACACACACACTCACACTACTCTTGATGGGCAATATGATCAGTCCAAAGATAAGAACACCAGGTGGGAATTGCAGGAGAAACTGTCTGGATGCTTGCATAATTAATGCATTCCAGAGATGGGGGAGTGGTGATGATTTCAATTGATCTTGGTATAATACATGGGCCTGCAAAAGGGTACAAAATGCTCCTGGAGCCTGGGCCAGCTGGGCAAAGTGACCTCCAGGGGCTGCAGGGCAGCTTCCAGGTGGATCCCACACCTTTACATCCAGCCTGAGGATGGGAACACTCACTTTTGGACAGGTGAGTGACAGTGGAGATAAAATCCTAAAGTAGCTCCATGAATGCTTTACAATTGTGCTTTCTGCAAACCTGCACATTTCCAGCTGAACCCATCTGTGTTAAAGCCCTTCAGACCTGCTTCTATTATAGACTGCATTGGCAATATTTAGATACTGTGTTAGCAATAAATCTCATCATAATCACCCACATAATCAGTGTTATACTTCTTGCACCTGACTGAGAGTCTTCTCTCAAATACTCTTCCATAAATGGTTCTACATGTAGACCATGACCCCCAAATAAAATACTAATTTCAGCAGATTTACACAAGTTGCTAACTGAAAACAGGTGGCAAACACTGACAAAAGTTTCTAACACAGTTCAAGACTGCTTCAGCTTAAAAGTTTTAAATAATAATTTTATCCTTACCCTGCGGTCTATGGGTGCCAAACCCATGGTGTCTTCCAATTTTCGTTTTTCAGAGCAGTGAGCAGGTTTATCACAGTCATATTCAACTTCTGGCTTGGACAAATCCCGACAGAATGTACAAATCCACTCTCCACTGAAGAAGACAAACAGACACACTGATCTCAGTGAGAGAGCTCTCCTTTGCCAGAAGGCTTTCCACATATTTGTGGGGAAATCCCTCATCTGTGGGGTGGGTTTTCTCTGCATCTCCGTTGTTTTCTTCCTGGTGGTACAAAAGGCTGCAACAGCTGGCAAAAATGCTTTACTACAACTTTGTTTCCTTTGAGTGGCACTGGTGTCATTAATGGTGTCCTAGCAGAAATATAGACAGATGGTCTCTACCTTTGTCAATACTGAATTTTTTCACTTGAGCTCACAGGATTTAAGGATAGCACTGTGAAGAGCCCTGTACGACCATGACTACTGAGAGATTGAAGGAGTCATCTGGGCTGAAGAGAAGGAAAAGTGTTAGTATTATATGGTGAGGACTACATACCCTCTACAAGCTTGATCTACAGCACATTACGAATCTACAGAGATTACCGTAGACCAGATTCTTTGTAAAACTGAAAATATTGCACTCCCTAAAACTTTCAAATTTTCATGATTTTACCAGTTTATGTAAGACAATACTGGAGATTTAAAGGTCAGCATAAGATTATAAAATAATTAGTTCTGCAAGCTCCATCCACTGAATATTGAACACAATTGATGAACTTGAAAGTTTTGAAAAAACTGTGAAGAGTCTATGTTTTTAATATAGCTCTCTACAAAAGAAAATAAACCTGCATGCTTGCATATAACCACCAGAGGGCTGAATCATCACACAATAGACAGAATTCAGCAATAATCAGTTATGAGCTGAACTGCGTGTATTTACCCAGAGGTTTGTTATTATAAACAGTGTCTTCATAAATGGAAAATAGTTTCTGCAGTACCCTTTATTTCATTTCTATAGTAAGGCAGAAGACTTCAGAAATTTAAAAAGAAAATCTTACTGTTTTCTATTCAGAGTGATCCAAAGATTTTCACCATCTTCCAGTTTTAACATGCAGTGGTGAATGATGGACATTTTGCTTCAAGAAGTTTTACTTTCTGCTACCTTAACTTCACAGAGTGATTTATGACAGTGTCACCTCTGTGCCTGGACTAGCCTTACAGAAATGACGTGACAGATACACAAAAATTGACACAGGCCATGACCTAAAGATCTTGTGACACAAGAAAACAAGGAACAAATTAAAGAGGAATGATGTATTAAAATATCCAACAAGCAGGAAGAATGTGGTAGGTTGGAATGAAGGAAAAAAGATGCCGTGGCCTTACGAATCTACGCGGGAACATTATTTTAAACTGAAAGAGGGTAGATTCAGAGTGGATACAAGGAAAAAGTTTTTTACAGTGAGGACTGTGAAACACTGGCACAGGCTGCCCAGAGAGGTGGTGGATGCCCTGTCCCTGGAAATGTTCAAGGCAAGGTTGGATTGGGCTCTGAGCAACCTGATCTAGTTGAAGATGTCCCTGAGCATTGCAGGGGGATTCAAATTAGAGGGGCCTTTAAAGGTCCCTTCCAACCCAGAACACCCTGTGACTCTCTGAACCTATGAAATTACCCTATCCACCTGAAACAGGAACAAAAAGCAAACATGAAAGCAGCAGACTGACACCGCTGACACAAAAATAACAAAATTATTTTGTACATTTGAAGGAACTAAGACTAAGAGACTGAACTTTGTTTAGCAGACTTACAGCTGGGGGAAAAAAAATGCAAGCAACCCCAAAAATATGAGAACAAAAACCTGATACGTCAGAAGTCAGCGAACTGTGCTCTGGAGCCCAGGAACACAATGCACCTGCAGTAATATGCACCTTTTCACATCTGAACACCTGCCATCAAAGTGGCTTTTGGCTCCCTTGTCCTCAGACATCATTACTTCAGTTTCCACTGAATGATCCAGTAAAAATGAAATTACAAACTTGCTATTGAAGATTTAATTTTAATAGAATCCAAGTCTTGTAATGCACTGTTATCTACCTGCTTCAAGATTACTTTTTGTTTTCTTGCCAGAAAGAATATTTATTAATTTAAGTGCTTATTGTAAACTTACTGTGTTTTCCTTATGGCATAAAGCTATAACATACCTTTGTTTTAACTAAAAAAAAACCCCATTGGAATCTGAAGTTTCAAAAAGTAACAGAAACATTTTAATGTGCCATTTCTAGTGACATTTAAAAGAATGATATACTTCCAGAAGTATGCCTGTTCAGAGTAGCACAGAGATGATCAACGTGCTAATCTAAATTGCTATCCGAATGTTTTACACCAGTAAACTACACTGATATTTAATCAGAAAACCTAATATTTATAAAAGCATTAACCAATGAGCATGTTATGACCAATGCTTTTATCCTTCAATACAAACAAGCTTATTGCATGACACTTCCAAGCCGGGGCATTGCAAAATGCCGTTTATTTTAATCAAAGACGCTAATTCCACAAGCAAACGCCGGTAATGCTTATAACAATAATCTATTTAAGACTCTATTTTGAAAGTCAAGAAACTGAGCAATGGTTTTGTAAAAGCCATTCAAGAAAGCTTAATGCTTGTTTCAACACTGACTGTTGTAAAATATGTCAGTCACCACACATCCCATGCTGGGAATATAGCCATGTTTAGCACTGCAGTAATATATTTCATATTATGTTAATCCATATTTTTCCATAGACATTTCTTAATTTTTCTTTTAAATCTTATTATTGAGAAATATAACTATTTTCAATCACCCTTAAAACATTTTATGACAGATTGGTAATGTAATTCTGTGTCCCAGTTTTAATAATAGATGCCCTAGATGTGATCTTGCTTAATTGTCAAATAAGTGAAGAGTTTTACTAGATTTTGTAGAAAAATATGCAATTAAGATGAAGTTTCATGAAAATTCAGGTTTTCTCCAACTAATAAAACTGCTGGATACAAGACACGAAGACACCGCTCTGAGACTGAAATGTCTTATCCTGGATTTCACAATACAAGTCTAATGTCTTTTAGTGCAATTTTAGAGGGAACTGAAATAGTTAATTACCTTGGAAAGCTCATCAATGTTGGGACATGACAAGAAAGATGGAATACTTTGGGACACTTCTCACAGCAAAGGAGCTTCCCTCCATTTTGACATACAGCACACCAGTCTTCATTGGGATCATCCTCTTTTCTGCCCTCGCCAGCGTGGGAGGAGCCCATCCATCCTGTTTTCCCAGGGAATGTGCTCTCCTGCAGTACCCCTGGCTGGTCATCTGTGCTGTCTGGTGCAGCTGTTCTTAGCATAGCTTCGTCAGAAGTGGAATTGTGATTGGTATCCAGCAGCAAGGAAGTAAGTATGGACTGCAGGAAGAAACAAAGGAAGTCAGATTGAGTATTTATGTGAATTTACATGACCCTAACAATGTGTAAATTGACCTGAATAACAGATCTACGTGCCAGCAGCCATACAACTTGAAACATGCATGCAGAAATTACTAACACACTGTAACACAGGCAAATTGACACAAGAAATTAACTATGAAAGGCTATTTACTGCTCCACCAATAAAAAAACTAATCTCTGATGGCCCAAAACTCTAGTGCCTTGTTTATGGATATTCCTGTACTATGACTGGAAACACTTCCTGGCAGCACCTGAAAATTTCATCTCTGCAAGTTATTTCTGGATTTCCCAGGTTTTCAGTGGATAAAAGCAGTCTGATCACACCAGTTAATTTAACTGGCAGTAGGGCTAGCTTGATTTTGAATTTCACCTCTTCCTTTTGTTTAGCTTTTTAGTTTTCCCCTGAAACAGTTCCCAGCAGAATACGAGTAAATTATTTTATTCCCTGTAAATACAAAATACTCTCCAAAGAGAAAGTCCATCTTTCTAGCTGTAAATATTACATTCCGAGGCCGGGATTCCTCCTCTGTCTCTTGCTTCACTACAACGATTGGGAAATCAAAGTTCTCGTCTGATGCATTTGACTCCTGTTTAATTCTGATCGGCTCCAACATAACAACAGGGACTTTGTGTGTAGAATCAGCTCCTGGTGGCCTGCTGGATGAGCCAGAACTGTAAGTGACAGGAAAAGGAAGGAAAAAAGGGAAATCAGATGTCAGAACTGGGCACTTTTTGTACACTGATGCTTTCTAAGACCTCAGGATGTTAATCAACTTTGTTTCTTTGAATCCTGAGCAGTATTCCCTTTATGGAATGAACATCCAAGCTTATTTCCTTTGATGTATACAGAAAAAGCATTACCAAATGGGAAAATTTTGATAGTGCAGCCCCAAAACTAAAGAATTACTCATAATTTGACCCATCAGTGCAAAACTTGCAAATAATCTCAGTTTCTTTCAGTCACACACAAAAGAGTACCTCCACTGAACACTGTAAACCATACAACTGACTAAGGCAGATAAAATATGTACTTCCATTATCTTGGAAAACTTTCTTAGAGCCCTGCAGCTCTACCAAAACTTGGACCCTACTTTCAGAACTAGATTTGTCTTTTTTCATGTATTTAGTCCTAACAGGATGAGAATAGACAATTAAACTTTAAAATACCTTATCTTTTAAAATAAAAATAAAGAATTTAAATCTAACGCAATGAATTCAAGCAGCAGCATATTAAATCAAATTTTTAAATGCAAGTAAAGACTCTTCAAACACCCATTTAAACTGTTCATTTAAACTATTCATAAGAGTCCTTCACAGAATTTACCATGTAAATGGAATAGAGCAAAAGGTATTCTAGATTAAAAAGCACCTGCATTTCCAACTCAAGTAGGATGAATGTCATCTGATTTTCCTCTGCATGAAAAATTAATTTCATGTCAGATATATGCTCTAATTTATTGCTACACATTAACAGATCTGCTCTCTTCAAACAACACTGTGTAAATATATTTGTTCATTAATATTCCATTAGTAAGGGATAAAAACATTTGTGTAGACTCTCAGTAGATATCTAGTGCTCACTTAACTTTATTGCAGCAGAAAATTCTTAATAACCCTCTTTGTAACATCAGTTCCTTAAATCTGAAGTAATTTATAGTTCCATAAGGGCTTTCAAAATGCAGCTTTTTCCCTTAGCTGATTTTTCTGAAGTTAAAACCTAATTTATAAATGGTATTCTTTTAATAACGCCAACCTAGCCATCATTTACAGAGTCAATACATCTTTAGATGTTCTATTAATACATTACAAATGAAATTACTGCTTTTAGAATGCAAAGAGTGCTGTAACAACCATCAGGCCTGACCTGTTAACAGAGAAAGTGAGACAAATCGACATCTTTATGCATTAAAGAAAGAAAGAGACTGAGGCATGTTCTGTGGAGGAGGAAGTAACATTTTCTTCTCTCACACTCTTTCCTTACCTCTCTCTGCTCCCAACACTGGAGGCACTGGGTGAACGAATTGGAGGGTGTACATTTGTCACACTGATTCCTCCTAGGACAGAAGGATCAGATTAGAACAGAATACAGGTCTGTGCCAAATCTGAGATACAACTCAGAAGTACATGTGTTTTGGGGAAAATGTCTCCTGCAGTGAGAAATATCTCATTTAATACATCTTCGTGAAAGGATGAGAGGCATGAGATAGCAGAGGGAAAGAGAGGGCTAAGAAAGGGCCCATTACATGCAAGCAGGCTGACAGGTGAGTACCTTTGCCTGGCTGACCTCTCCACCTAATCACTGCAGGCTGTTTTGTCTTATTCAGGAGAACTGACAGGAAACTTTGAGCTTCCTTTGAGCAGGAAGAAGTCTGGGAGACAGATACGAGGGAAACCAAAGGTCTGGGGCTCCAAAAGCCTTGTGAAGCAGAGTGCTAAGCAGCAGCCCTGAGGAGCCTGAGTGGGATGTCTGTGCTGCCTTTGAATGCACTACCCACTGTCTCTGCCACCACACGAGTGCATGAGCCTTGCACGAGTGCTTCCTGGGAATTCCCACTCACACAGCCTTCCCACAGCTCAGGTCAGAAAGTGGGAATGAGGAACAGCTGCTGTGGGCCACCAGCATGGTGACAGGAATCCCCTGGATCCTCCAGGACAACCACATTCAGCCACCCATCACAGTAACTTCTCTGGTCATCCTGTGTCAGTGCTGCACTACCCACCCATTTCTAGTCTGCTGTTACATCCTATCTCACTTGCTCAAATACTCGTCTCTTACTACAGCTGCTAGATCTTAATCTGGTGTACACCTGAGAGTGTCACTTTTTCTACAACTTTGCCTTCATTTTCTAATTTCTCATCTTTAATATAAAACAGAATTAATTCTGATTAATCTAATGTGTTAACACTGCCACATTAGATTTTTCAATTGCATTACTTAAAGAGAAAATTGCACCACATTCAATTACCTGAGAGGCCTGGGGATGGTACCGAGGAATTTGGTGACTGCACAGTCCTGTTTGAAGGGGGTTTTGGCTGATTCTGCTCTACAGTGCCATCCTTCCTTACAGCATTATCCAGTGTGATGTTTCCAGAACAATCAATCTAAAAGGTGGGGAAGCAAAGGGAAGCAGTTAGTGTTGGGAAGGGGAAAAAAACCCTCCAAAGCAACAAAAACCAAACAAAACCTAAAAGCCTCTGCCATGCTGTTGTTTTGCAAGCGAAGACCAAAATGTATTTCACCAAAGTTTACCCATCCAAAAGTGAAATGGTTACTTTAAAACATATCATCTTGCTTTCCCTAAAAATAAAACGAAATAGCCAAATCCAGACAGTGCTTCATTTTAAGAGCAGATGACTCTGTAATGCCAATTTTTCTCCAAAGGCCACAGAGAAGGCTTAAATCAAACAGGGAGCTTTCAGACATTGAAGTAAGTTTATCTCCATACCTTCTTTGGACATGCTCACATTACACACTCTTGAAAAGGTAATAACACTATTCACAAACTACCCCTTAATCCACCGTTGTTTAACAGGACTGGAAGAAACTCAAAGGACACTCAATCCCATCTGCCTCACATACCCTCTGAACAACAGCCATGCATTATTGACTCAAAAAGGAAATAGCAAACTAACACCTCTTCTTTCCACTATGGCTCAGGCCAGATAACTGAACTTTATTCTAGGGACTCCCAATGCAGCATTTCCACAAAAACCACACATTCTGGCTTGATAAGGAGGAACGACTTTTTGAAATGTTTGGTTTCTTTCAATATGTAAAATAATGTTTGATAAGATGTATCCAAAGTGGGTGCAGCAGCTTTGGCAAGGTCAACGTATTTATAGTGATTTGGGCCATGTATCTTAAAAGCATAAACTCAATCACACACAAATAGAAGAGTTCATATCGTGCACAGAAATAAATATGCTAAAATGTCTCACAGACTCAGTAGTTTTATGACCATGTTGTGTAGTTCCCCCTTTAATTCTGACAGATACTGTAATTCTGCAGTCTATGTACTCCATTTTAATAAAGAAAACACATAGTATATAGGTAAAAACAAAGTACAGATAGGAGATAAAGGAAGTAGCAGCAAACTATAACTAGAAAACCATGACACTTCAGATATCTACAAATCTTAGACCACAAAAACCAGGTTAGGCAGTTATGTGGAAAAATAAAGTCACCTGACTAAAAGTAACTCCAACATGGACCTCTGGCAAACACATACCATTCAAAAGAAACTATAAAAGAGAAGCTTAGAAGGTTAAGAAATTATGATCTTACTATGCTATTTCAATCACCACCTCACAGGCATGATAGAAAATATATGAAAAAGTTGTATGAAAAGAAGTACCAAAAGGAAAAGATGTAAGGAATATAGCCAGTATGCTGACCATTAATACCTACCCACGATAGCTCTTTCAATAAGGTAAAAATAGATTTTAAAAATGTTAAAAAACTACCAGAAATGCCATCAGTAATCCACTGCTATCTATGGACACTGGTAAATGAAAGCTAAACTAATACATTTTTGTAAGAATCGTTATGAGGGCTTCAGAAAAATATGCAGCACACAAATCAACAAGTCCAATTACAATTACAGCTTGTAATCCTATTTTTCTTAGTTGTTCTAACAGCTGCAGCTGTCTCCCAGAACGGCTCTGAATATTTCCAGCAACATGCAGGCAACTCTGAATTGTTTATTTCCTAGAACTGCTTTCGTTCTGACAAACAGAATTTCAGTCTAAAAGGTTTTTATTTCTCACAAACATTGAGACTTCAAAATAGAATCCATAAAACATTGCCTCTATGTCACACTTACATCAGGGAGAGATGGCAGATTATAGGAGCTACCCACTGGGGAACTCAAATCTATCACAGGGGGACCGTAATTCTTCCCATCACACCCAGCAGCACTGGTGACTGTGGGGCTGGATGGAGTTGATGTTGTGCTGCTTGCAGTTGAAGGGGTGGTTGAAGTTTGTCCACTACTGATCTGCCACTAAAAAGAAGAGACAAAAATCTGAAATTCAGCATTTTTTTTCTCTGCAACTGGTCACATCTACTGAATACACTGACAAAAGCAGAAGCTTAGTTTAGGAAGCTGAATTCAAACATAAAATCCTGATTTACTCTGAAGTTATCTCATTTCAAGAACCAATCTCACAAGACAACGTAAGATGACAAGTAGTTGAAAACTATGAATAGAAGAAATGAATGCAAATTCTTAAATCCAAAACTCTACCTTGGTGTTAAATATCTATTACTATTTCATGCTGCATTGACAGTGTTGTGGAAGAAATGTAAGAGTTTTTGTGAAATAAAAGCATTAGAGGTAATCAGCTGAATGCACAACTACTCCAGTGCTTTACCAAATAAATGGCTATAGTGTCACCTGGATGCCTTGAAGTCTTTGATGTTGTGCTTCCCTTAACAACATACAGTCATTAAGAATTTGAAATGCTGACTGGATCTCCATCCACATAAACATTAAACACCATGATATGAAGTGCACACTCAAGTCAGACCAAATTTCCTTCTCATTTACATGTATACAGTATTCAATGACTTTAATGGAATTTCCTGGCAACTGCAGGAAAAATCTGACTCTCTCAATCCCTTTTTAGTCAGTCATTCTATTTACTGGCCTCTAGTTTCAGAAAGACATTAGTGAATAATGAGATATCTTGAAAGAAAGGCTTGTAAGATAGGCCAGTCTTCTTTTCACAGGCACAGAATAGAAGTGACTTACTTTTTATTTGCACAAATTCTCTTAGATATTGTACAGCTTTCTTCCATCTGATATCATAAGCACTGGAAACATAACTGGTATTACATCACTTTTCAGGTCACAGATTTGTTTGATTCTTTTCTGCTTACCTGCACCCAGCGACTTGTGCGTAATAATATGCTTTTTAATAAAGATGAGCCTTCCTAAAAATCCAGAACACACATGATGTGTTTGCTTCTGCCCCAATTCAGCTGCTGATCAGTTGGGCACTGATCAGTCTCACTCAGCAGAGGGCCCACAATTGTGGACTCTCTTTTCTCCCCTCACCTGTAAGAGTTCAGATTTGCCATACTCTGAGGAACCTAGCAGCTCTAGATTTTTAGTCAAGGTTTCACGTGGTTCCTGGTGAAGTCACTATCATCAAGCTAAAATGGGATTTTCTGATTTGTCTACTCACTGACTGCAGTGTGCAGACAATGGCCATGCTAAGTTTTGTGCAAGTGGTCAGAAACCACAGCAAGAGAATGAAACACCAACACAGCACACACAGTGTCTCACCTCCCTAATGCTTCAGCTGCTTAGAACTGTCAAAATGAAAGCAACATGACAGTTACCTCATTAAGAAAACTATGGGTATCTTGTCACAGAAAAATAATGCAGTCTGTTTTAACTGAAAAGCACTCTAGTAGTATAAAATATAAGGCACATTTGATCCTTAATTTCTAAATGGAGAGTGAAAAGGTAAAGATATTCTACCTGTTTTATAGCTTGCTGTGCCAAGAATGCCATTTGCAGTGGGTTGGGCTTTACTGCTGGCCTTGGTAGGTTCTGATTTTGGGGAAATCTCATCTGTTGTGCAGGAAGAGCTGAACCATTGGGCTTGGGACCATGATTCTGAAAATGAATCAAGCGTGGAGGTGCCTACATAAAAACAATAAAAATAGTTCTGCAAGTGAGCTGAGATCTTTTCTATATTCCACACATTTTTTAATAAACAGTCCTTTTAAACTTCTGAAACTCCTCATAAATTATATGTAAATAAATAGTACCACAACATTTATCTGAAACATTTATCTGAATGAATTTATCTCATTGATCTGAATGAAAAGCATTGAAATCCAATGTTAAAAGTAGTAGTAGGCAGTAGTAGACAAGCTGACAGTTTTGAATTATTTTAATATATGAAGAGATAGAACAAGAGCCAGTGAGAGTGTTTCCAGCTTTGAAAGATATGTGAGAGAGTCAATCACTGGGTATTAGGCAAAATAGATGTAGCAAAAAAAAAAAATTACACTAACTTTTTGATCACTTGACAAAAACACAAAAATGTTGCTAAGCACTGTTACATGGCTGGATATAGCAAGATTTTATTTTTTTAAAGAATAAATATAGGCTGGGTGCTACCACGCATTGTGCAAGGAAAGTTTAAAATTCCCATTCATTTCACAGTAAAGAAAATGTCCTCTAAACCATCTACATAACTACATGCTGAAGATGAAGATCTCCAAACTTATGTACCTAGATTTAAGTTCTTTCCTTTTTTTCTTATCTTTACTTTCTCCTTCAGTGCCACAGGAAAAAGAGACTCTGAAAACAGTCCTAACTTACCTGATGAGAAGCAGGAGGCTGTTGCATGGCTCCTGGCATTCTTGGGTTTGGTAGAACTACTGGTCCTGCCCTGCGTTGAGCTTGCTGTCTCTGAGCCATGACCTGCTGCTGCATGTGCTGGAGGCGGAGCTGGGCTAGGCTGATCTGTGTTGGGAACTTGGAGAGCTGGTTGGGAGGTAAGCTGCCTGGTGGCTGTAAGTTTGGTTCCATCACAGGGCTCTTGGGCATATGTGGTGGAGTTTCCTTATCTTCAATTACCAAAGAACCTATTTTAACCAAAATAAATAAAACCAGTACCGGAGTATGGCAGTTAGCAGAGACAACATCACACTGCCAGAGACATGCAGTCTGACTAGAACTCAAACCATTTCTGAAGTAACTTGTTGCTTTACTCAGACTTTATTTTACTTTTTCTTCACTGGTTCTTATATCTAGCTTATCTAAAGAAATTGAACATGTCTGATCATAAATAAAATAGCCTAAAGGTTGTGATTTCTGAAACTAGATAGATAAATATTATTTGGTTTTATCTGTCACTTAAACTCCTACAAGAACCCCAGTGCAGGTCTATACAGGTGCCATTCGTATTGTAGCACTTTTCAGAATGTAAGGGACCATATTTCAGAAGTTCATTAAATAAACATACACAAGAAAAAGAGCCCAGCAAACACAGGAAAAAGTCAGCTCATTACAAACATCTTATCTGAGCAGCAGTTCAGAGTTATCACCACATAACCTGACAGCTGGTTTCTGGAAACATACTTCAATTCTTGTCTCTAAGAAAATTATTTATAAAGAAGGAACTTGGAAAATTTCCTTGCTACCATCCAATGTCATCATGAAAAAGGAGCTGCCATAGCACTTTCTTCCTCTGACATTGTAGAGAATCATACATTTCCACCTCTCTACACTGAGAGAGCACTTTCTGATGAAAGGCAGAAAATGCCCCAGAGGTATCTCACCAAGCCTTCCGCACGTGACAGAAAACCAAAAATGCCCACCAAAGTAACAGTGGAGAGAGAAAGGAAGCACAATAACAGTCAAAATCCTGAAAGACCTCTAAAACCTTTAAGTCCTCCTGCCAAGCTGTTGAGTTCTTAGGGTGCTTATCATCGTGGCTGAAAGCTGTCCCATGGGAAAGGACCTGGGACTGCTGGTTGACAGCAGGAACCCTTTCTTTTTGATGTGAAATAGGGTTAAAAACTGTTCCTTGTGTCAGAAGCCAGAAGTTAGAAGTATTGACCAGAAAACTGGAAGTGCTATTTCACCATGACGTATACCATTCAAACAAGATAAGTCTGTTAATATTTATCATAGTATTCATAAATAATACTTTTCCCCATGCAATGCACTTTGTTTTTCACAGCTAGGGAAATGCATTAACAGAGTAAATGAAGAAATGAATATCACAGAGGCTATCATCACAAAAAGAAAGCTGCTTTCAAAATAGGATCAAGACACCAAAGGGCTAATAAAAATTTATCATACCTAGATTGAAAATATTCTGAGCCCAGAAGCTAGGATCACAGTGGAACTGGATGGTATTGTTAGTCACTGGGGAAGGATCACACCTTGCTCGGAGGAGATATCGTAGTCGATATGTAATCTAGAACAAGAACAAAAATAAGGGGTTTTTTTCCTCTGGGGCCAGAGCCATGTATCTGAACAGCACAAAAAACCCAAAACCACACACCCCCACACACACCAAAAAAAGCAACCAATCAAAATATCCCACCAACAAAACCCCCCCTGAACAAGCCCCTAGAGAACTGAGGTTAAAGATAGAGAAACTTGTCCAAGCTACAAATAAAGAGGTATTTTTAACATCTTTCCCTTATTCCTAAAGTAGTTTTAATAAGAAGTTAACTACAGACTAAACAAAAATAACAATTCTTCCCTGTAGAAATACACATCCTTCTAAAAACTTGGCTGTTATATTCAATGACTTTAACTACTTGCAAGTGAAGCTCCGATTTACATAACCATTGATGTTTTTTCCCCCCCACTAATCTATTTTAGCCCATTCATTTTTCTTCCAAAGTATGCCATTCGTTTGGCAACAAGAATGATCACAGGGAATTTTCTTTTGTACTAAATTTAAGTTTTCTTCAGACAGCCAAAGAACAGATTTTTATAAACTGTCTTTGAAAACTCAGATTCAGAGATATTTTCAAATTTTTCCAATGACTTGGTTCCAAAGAACTGGATTGTGATTACACAAGAGAATATTCTACCAAATGCTCACAATTTATCTACTTCCTAGAAAGAAAATGTTGTCTTGCAGTTGTTTCACTAGAAATGTCAGGAACTGATATACCAAAATATAACAGGCACTAATTTTAGAATCACACACAGCAGAGATGCTGAAAAAAAGAACTTAAGGAGTTCAGTTCTTGTTTTTCTTGAGTGATAGATTATTTCCTGGAAAAGAGAGATACTTGGTGAGATCATCTTAACTGCTTAAAATTATACAAGTTTGAGGGGTTTTTTGCTTGGTTTTTTTTCCTTTTACAGAGAAATTTTATAAGGACATCCAGTGTACAAGTTTTTTCTTTCAATTTCAGGCATGTCAGTTTAAGACCATACCCAAAAAACATTTTACGTGACTCAAGATTTTCAAATGACCATGGAAAATTTTTAAGTGCATTATTACTATTTTGGATAGAGATCTCCTTAGGATTTTTGTGTACATTATCAGAATCAAATAGATGACACTACAGAAATCCTAGACTTTTGTCCTGTTCCTAGTACTGGTCACACACAGTTCCTGCCAGTTTGCTCCATTATTTTCCTACTATTGTGCACATACATGTATTCTGGATAAACTCCTGACTGGTTACCTCCTGTTAGTAGTAATGAAAAGTACAGCCTGAGAATACAACTCTCGAGCTCTAACGCTGCCTTTAAGTCTGATGGGCGTTCCTTCCTCTCTCCTGGATTTGCTGGAGCAGAAGTTTCACATGCTCCTCCTAAGCAAAACTGCTTGGAAATAAGTTTTTCCAAATGCCCACAGATAAGTTATCTACTCAGCTCCCAAGGAGCACCAACTTTCTAAAGCTCAATCTGTTCTTTTGAAAACTTCTTTTCATTTGCTGAGGCTTTTTGGGCTAGATGGCCCTTTCTTTCAGCTGCCTAATATTTATATGATTAAGATGCCTGAAACTCAACTTGTTTTCTTACTCATGTAGCAGAGCCTTGGTGGCAACATTAAGCAATTATAAACAACATGACTCAGTCTTATGTCCTTTTTCTCTATTCAATTAAAAAAAAAAATGACTGGCTGAGGCAGTATAAGGCAGACCAAATTAACTTAACTACTTGAAGCTGATAAAAACAAGTAATATTCTGCTATAGCTTGCAGTATCAACAATGGCTATTAAAAAAAAATAAAAAAGAAAAAGCCACCACCAAAAACCAAGAGCATACCCAAACCAACAAACACCACTGAATACCCTGCTAGGTTCTCAACTAACCAATGAGAAAATAAAGAAAAAGCTTTATGAACCAGTTTCTAGAAATTGGAAAAAAAAAGTATCTAGCATCTTTCCTCAACATTGCCCCAGATTGCTGCTGTCAGGCAAGTACAGTCTAGTAACCTTTGGAAAAATAAAGGTGAGCTTTTGGTTTGTTTTTTTCCTTTAAAATTTTCTAGGATTTCTATCCATCATGAACAGTCAGCTTAGTGCGACAGCATACACTCAGATCTTCAAGGTCATTATAGCAATGAAATATTTAGCTTTGTAATCATTTGTAAGGATAAACAAAAGCCTTAGTTTAATTTTTATAGATTTTGAAAGACTTTCAGTGGGAGATGAACCTGACAAAGACATACAATAATATTTACATTAAAATGCTAGATACCAGACACTGTGATATACAAACACTGTTTTCCATGAACTCAGATGCTGTAGCAAGTATTGTATAGAAGCACAATGATGATATAGGACACACAACATTTTTTTCCATGTTTCATGGCTTCATGGTATATAACCCAGAGAAAAGGAGTTGTTCTTACTTCTGCAGATCTACAATAGTTCTGTGGTATTGTAACAGGAGAGAACCATGGCCAAAGAGCTAAATTAATAGAAACATTCTGTATTTATGTTTAAGAAAAAACCACAAAAACTATATATAAATATTCTAATTAGTAGAAAATCATTACAAATTCTAATACCATAGTACTCCTGACAAGCATGTGCATGCGTATCTGTAAACTGTAGTCTCTAGATGAACAGAGAGAGCTGTCTTCCTAACCTTACCAAGCGTTTACTGTACAACAGTGCTGTGCTGCTCCCACTGGAAACTGCCCATTTGGAAAAATTCATGACGTGTTCCAGCTGTTTAGAGAGACCTGCCACTTCCTGCTGTTGCTGCAGAAGTTTCATCCTATGCTCTTTGGCCAGAGTCTGCAAGTAGAAAAGCAGTTCCAGTCAAAAGGTTCAATTTAAAGGTTTAATTTAAAGAAAAAAGGCTTTAGCTTTCACATTTGTAATTCACAATGATCAAGTGGTTTCACTTAGCTCCTCTAAAAAGGATCCCTGCCCCCTGATGCAGCTATCAAACAAGTCAGTACACATTTACTCAAGATATCAGGACTTTCTGTGCTAATGACAAATTTTTACATGTATTTATATATATGTATGTGTGTGCCTCTCTACGTACACACACACTTTTCCAAACACAACAGGAGATAATATTTTTCCAGGTGCCCATTCTAGACAATTCTCTCCTGTGATTTGCTACTGGATTACTGAATTTATGAAAAATTTTAATGGAACACTTTTCATTCATGATGCATGGAATGAATTACAAAAGCATGGAGAAAGAAACTAGCCACCCCTCAAAAAACAAACTTTCCTCCATCAAAAACCCTACTTGCTCAAGTAGCTTGTATGGGACATCTCTCCACTTTGGAATCATGATAGGACATGCACAGGGGACTAATGCTAGAAATTTACTTTAATGCGAATACATAGAAAAAATACGAAGACTGAAATTTACTTTCTTATGACAGAAATGAAATTACCTCCAACTGATGCAGCAGAGCTTTTCCCTTTTTATTTATTTCTACCATCAGTGTAAATATGGCAACTTTAATATCCTGTTCCACCTGCTTTTGATTCTGATTCACTTCAAGAATTCTGTAAGTAGACAGTATAGAAAATAATGTTCTTTAGCTCATAAATCCATCCTCTAAACAGTACTAAAAAAAAAAATCTCTTGCTTAGAGTACAATACTTCTTGGTCATATCCACCAATTAATACATGTATCATCAGACACTTATAGTCAGGAAAATTACTGGGGAAAAAGAGCAGGTAAGAGTGACCTATGATTAAATTAATTAACTGGTGGCAAATTCTAATGCTGTAACTCTGACTTCTGTCACTGATAAAAATTAAATGCTCTTTGTAATTGAAATTGTCCATTTTTAGAGCTCCATCACTTTTCTGGAATGGTTCATGCCAATCAAAACTGCTTAAGTCTAATTTCCATCTAGGGTAGAATGGCACTAACTGAGCCATTTCAACAACAGTGCTCAAACTCATAACAGCAGAACTAAATGTAATATTGGGGAAACCTCTACTGCAAAGATGAAGGAAGAGTTCAAGTCCCACTTGGCTTCCCTGACTGTGCTGAATCTCCCTGGGTACTGCTGCCCCTGAACTCTGCTGAAGGAGCAGCCACAAAGGCTCACTGCAGATTGTGTTTTACAGATTTATTTTTCTCCTAGGTTTGTGGTACCCAGTGAATACAGCCCCAAGCATAAAAGTGCTACATAAATCTTCAAATACATGTCACAAACATTATGAAAACATGAGTCATAACCTTTCACTTTCAAAGAGGGATCTACAGTAAGAAAATTAATCTGCTGATGGTGGGGAGGCATTTAAGACTGTCTTCTACAGTCTTTATTTCGTAAGTTGTTTTGTTGCACCCAAGCAACCGCTGCCCATTAAGTCCACAGCCTGAGCAGAATTATTACCTAACACAACCAAGAATACTGAACAGGCAACAGTCCCTACAATGAACTTTAGGATTCTTCTTTCTGGAAGATTAAAAGGAGAGAGGTACAAAATACACTAATTTAAACATTTCAAGAAACTATAGTATATGTTAAGTTGCCTTCTGTCAGTTTTAACCTCATAATCTGATACAAACCTGTTTTGGATCTGTTTCCCTGTATACTTTATGTACTTAGTCTTCTCCATCAATTTGGTGATCAGTGTCTCAATGATAACTTTCTGGTTCTGAAAAGCTTCTTCTATAAACTGGTACCTGTAGTAAAAAGCAGTGAGGATTTACACATGTAAAAGGTGTGATAAACTTGCTAAAAAGCAGGGGGACTTACAAAATAATACTTCTTTAGCTGAAGAAAGAGGCTGCTCAAATACAAAATGTAACTGTCATCGTGGAAGCATATGTCAGCAAATGCTTATATGTTTAATTTATAGTATATTTAATTTTATAGTACATTTCCTGTCATATTGGAGGAAAAAATTATGATTTTCACAAATACAAAAGGACATTGTGTGACCATAGCCTAATTTTAGCAAAAGAAAAGTTAATGCTTTGAGGTAGTCATCACTTTGAATGTGGAAATGCAGGTACAATATTACTTAATGCAAGACAACAATGCAGAAATAGAAGAGACGACTGCTGACTTGGTAGAAGTTGGCAACATTTTAAATCATGGAACCGAAATCTTTAACAATCTGAATAAAAAAGAGGTGGCACATTATAAAAGGGATATAAATCCCAAGAAAAGGAGAATAAAAAAAGAGAAAGACTGCAACTCTGCAAGAGCAATGTTTAGCCTGTTCCAAGGAGCAACAGCAGCCAACACTTCTCCACCTACTGACATTCACCTGGTCAGGCAAGTAAGCTCTCTGGGTGGTTGCACCAGGTATAGCAAACATATTAATATTTAACCAGAGTGCATCTGTCCCAAAACACTACTATATGTGTTAACCAGAAAGATTTTTGCCTTGTACTTAGAAGTTGTATATATTTCTGCTTTTCAGCTTCAGTGACCAGTAAGAGATGACCAAAAGAACTGCAACACAAAGATTTAAATATTATAGTGTTGTCTAAATACAGTAATAGCCAAACTGTAGGTTAACTCTTCCTTTGAAAGGCCTCTTCACAGAAAAAAAATCCCCATTTGCTCCATTCTGAAGCTGTTTGGTAATGCTGTTATATAATCTTGTTGAAGGACAAACAGAGAAATTACACATAAGTGTACAGTTGCATAACACAGCCCCTGTGTTTTTTAAGGACTCTCTGAAGAGCTGCATAGCAACAAATGCTAACCAAATAACTTGACTGCAAAAAAGGTCTTGTGCCTAAGTCACCAGACTAACAACTGGAAGAAGTAGGTTTTATTCTATATGTAACACACACTCATCAGTCACATTCTTTGGGATACAAACTGTGGTTTTTTTGTGAGTTTCATGTCTGAGCAGAAAATTTTAGTTTGCACTTTTTCCACCTGACTGTGTTCCACACAGCTAGAACTACAATCACCTTCAGGCTACCTTCCTGTGAGATGGATAAAACACACTTTGCTTTGATACCTGTGCTCTTTGTGCTCTAGCAACTGACAGTCTCGGCAGGTCAACTTGTCACAGGTTTCACAATACAACTTCAGCTGCTCCTTTTTGTGGTAAGGGCAGAACACTGGTCGCTGACTGGTCACACCAACTGCCTCTGTTGAATAAAGGAAGATGTTAGTACAGTCTGTTGAACTTGTTCAAGTTTTCATTCTCCTGTTTTTCCGTCGACGTGCAAGGGTGTATCAGGTCACTCACTGAGACTGTAACAGCCATAAACTCAAACTGCAATGTCTCACTGTTGTTGCTCAAGCAAGGAGCTAGCACCTTGTCTTAATGGAAAATGTCTAGAACCTATTTTAACATAATCTCTTATGGCCTCACAAAACTATTTACAAAAGGAGTAGCCAGTACTGTGGAGGCTGCACAAAACATTTGCAAGCTCCTTTCTTAAATTGAGATGAGGAGGTGATTGACTTAATTTGTGCTCCGTCCTCTTTCTCAGCTGACCTGCTGGAAAGGGGTTTGAGGATATCAAGACATGGACATTCAAAGTGTAGAACATACAGAATGTAAAAATGTAAATAAGGAGATATGAACTTCATTTCAGGACCCCATTCTTAATGGGTGAGAGGTCTCACTTCAGTTTCTAGTGAGCAAATATCAAAGGGTAAAGGAAACACCACCAGATCATAAAAATTAAATCTGTTTCTTTAAACAATTTAACTGACAAAGCCTGATTTCCAAGAGGTTAGGTTGGACACTGACCTCATAAGGATTATACAGCCTGCAATGAAAACTGGCTTCACACTGCAGCCCATCCTTCACTGCAGATCAATAAGGTCTCTTTTTCACACCCATTCATTTACTGTTTTCAAGAAATCTGGAAGAAGCTATTTTCAGATCTGTATCCTTCAGTCAAAATTCTTTCCAGCTCACCAACAAACTGCCTCTCAAAGAGGCCTGAGTGCACTGAGATCACTCCTCCCACCAAGTCATGTTCTGCCTAAGTCCACCAGCCACTTCTACCCACTTTTGTCCTCTCTTGGAAGTACACCCAGGACTCACTTTTGATTAACCATATGTTAAAGTGAGATACAGCATACAGTGCATATCCTCAAAAAGTATCATAGTGGAAGACACACTTTGAGCAATAGATTACCTCATCATCCTAGATAGGGTGGAATGAAAATAAATATCTATTCTTATACATATATTTAAAGAAACATGTAACAATTCCTAAAAATCAAATTAAAATTACGTATTTACAAGAAAAATCATGCAAGTCTAATAGATGTATTAGAACCAGTAGAATGTCAGCATCCTATAATATTTATTATTCTCCTATAATGACACTAAAAGACAAGACACACTGGGAAAGAAAACTGAAACAAAAGAAGTTCTCAATGAATAGAAATACAACCTTTTCTACCACAGAGTAGCCAAAATTTCTCAGAGCTCTGTACACCACATTCACCACTGCTGGTTCCCAATGCCCAAAGAGATAAAGCCTGAGCAATTATAACTCAGAACTGAATGCCTGAAGCAGGAGACTGAACTAGATGAAGTCCCTTCTAGCCTGAATTGTCCTAGATCCTCCTGAGGAAAAATGCCCCAATTCATAATATACTTCCCCTACATTTCTGAGGCAAAACATTTCAAGCTCAAAAGATACTTAGCTAAAACATGAATTTTTGCTGTCTTTTTATCAGAATGCTGAAAAAATATAACCCATTAGTGCCCCTTTTCCTGCTGTATAAAACAATAAAGCTCATATTAACAATTTGCTAGACCTCTAGTAAAACTAGAGAAGCCAAATGCCTGAAGAAATATTTTCTGCAGCTGATCTCTAAAGTCTAGACAATAGTTTGCCATCAATCCATATAAAAGATAAAATCTATGTGTATTTATTGGTAAAACATGTTACATAAAAAAAAAACACAACAAGAAAAGCAATCTGTAAGCAATCAGCTTACCTGAGACAAAAAACTGACAGAAACCACCTTTCAATTTATCACTTTTTTTTAAAAATGTGTGTTGGTACAATATAATTTTTCACTGCAGACACAAATTCTTTGTGAAATTATAAATACGTCACCTGGAGATACTTCCTCTTTCTGCCTCACAGTATGATCCTTTGTGAATTTAACCCTCTGGTGAGCTCTGATACAGGTCTTGCACAACCACTCCACACATTCCACACAAAACCCGTGAGCTTCTGCATTGTCTTCACAGCTTGTGCAGACCTGGCAAGAGGAAGAAAAGGTAGCTGTTAAAATAAGTTTGGAATATAAACACAGGTTATTTTTCCTACATCATCAGTGCACTTTCATAGTTTTCTGAAAACCGTGAAATCAGAACGGAAAACTGCCTGAGGTACAGGAACTTTATAAATAACAGCACAAAAGTAATTGAATGTGACTTTTCAAAGAAACAGGTCATTTTGTCAGTGTTACCCTAAAATCTTTGCCTGACATGATGGAAGACAGACCACTACTTTCTGCCATTCCCTGCACACTTAGAAGGAATACAATGTTTACTATATACAAGATGCTGTTGTGAAATATTAACTAATGACAGAACACAACCAGCACTACTCTGATTTTAGAAGCCTCCCTCAGTTCACACAGCAGCTTTAATTTTAACTTCCAGTCACCTGCTTGGTTTCAGGAAGCACACACCGTACTGAGCAGCGAAGTTGCTCTCAAGAATCTTAGCATCATCTCTTAAAGACAGTAAGCCAATTATGTTTGTCAAAAAAGATACCCCAGAACAGATTTGCAACCAATGCATAAAATTTTCCAACTGTGGCCTGTTAATCCCTGGGGCTCTTTGGGCTATACCAAACAGACCTAGGGGAAAAAAAAAAAAGTAAGGAAAACAAACATGTCAGCTGACCAAAACCTCTCTGCATTGACTAAACACATATACAAGAAAAAACTGCTACAGTACCACAATCTGAACAACAGGCTGAAAACTCTGCATGATGGACAACACCATTTCACACGTTCATACTATCATTTCATTTTTGCCCCCTTACATCTTTACAATGCCTTCAATGTCCTGCCTTCAATAGGGTTTTGGTAGTAAAAAATAGTGAACTTGCTTATGCAGATCCTTGTTTAGTTAACTACCACTCATTGCTGGCAATGTTTAGCACTGCTGCAAACCAAAGCCTCAAGGTGTCTGAAGATTGCTACATCCTACAGACAACAGTGACAGATTTCTGCTTGCAGGAGCAACAAGGAGGAAATGTTAGGTTTTAGTTTTGTTTTCAGTTTGATTAAAAAAACCCAACCAAGTGACTTCTGCACCCATACAAGGTAAATATAGATAAAGAGGAAGGAAATATTTCTATCTCATGCAGATAAAAATATATATACACAGAACTATGTTCCAGTTTCCCCTTCAGGAAAGAGAGGAAAATTAGCACAAAACTTGCCTTAGGCCAGATAGCAAGTTACTGACAGAACTGGAACTGGAGTTCCAGGCTTATTCTTCTGGATCATGTTATCTCTCAAAGTAAGTATCTTCTGAGAAATGAAGTTACAACACAAGGGCTGTTGACCCCTCTTGTTGTCACTTGGGAGTTTGAAGCAGTTTCTTTTCATTAAAGATGACCTGCAAAGGAGAAAAAATTGGGCTTGTGCCCCTTTTTCTGTTTCTTTACAAAAATGAGGCCTGAATTTTCTTTTTCTTCCCCTCCTTCTCTTGAAAATAAAAATTTTTATTCCTATCCAGACCAGTAGACTAGGGAGAAATACCAGAACATCATAAAAAAAGTCTAGAAAATGGAAACAAAGCAATTAAAGGAAGTAAACTGTAATCAGGAAACTGACTTTTCTTCCTTTCTGTCCTGATTTCAGCTGGGATAGAGTGGGGGAGTTTTCCTTAGCAGCTGGCACAGTGCTGTGGTTTTGGATTTAGTATGAAAATAATGACAGCAACAACCAGAACATCAGTGTGTTAAGCAGTGCTTATACAAACTCAAGGACTTTTCAGCTTCCCATGCTCTTTGCCAGTTTGCACGTGCACAAGGAGGGAGAGTGGCCAGCTGAGCTGAACTTCCCACAGGGATATTCCATACCACAGAATATCATGTTCAGCATATAAACCATAGGGAGTTGGGTGGGAGGCACCAATCTTTGTTCAGGGACAGGCTGGGCATCGGTCAGTGGGTGGTAAGCAAATTTATCTGGCATCACCTGTTTGTCTTGGGCTTTATTCCTCCCTCCCTCTCTCACTCTCGTTACTACTATTATTAGAATTATTTAATATGACTTTATTTCATCTATTAAACTGTTCTTAGCTCAACCCACAGTTTTACCTTTTTTTCCCCCTGATTCTCCTACCCATCCCACTGGAGGTGGGATGGGAAGGGAGAGAGGAAGTAAACTGAAAGGGGGAAGTAAAAAAAGTTGCATGGCGCTTGGTTACCAGCTGGGGTTAAAGCTAACACTTGTTATTAACCCTTAAATTCAATTACATTTTGAAAAACAAACAAACAAAAATTTTAAAAGTATTCTTAATTCTTGGGGAAAACCCAAGAACCAAAAACCCAAGAACCACCTTCTCCTTTCTCTTTAGCCAGTTGTCTCCTTTCTGTGCCAGTGCAACTCTCTGTAAGACTGAGATGCAAACCAGGACTGATTTCAGCACCGCAGCACAAGGCTCAGTTACCTCAGCAATGCTGACTGGACAGTGAATTGAATAGCCAGGCCAGGACAAGAAAGTTTGCACCTCAGTCTTGTTGCCAGAGAGGTGTGATTGTGCTGTGCCCCCAGAAAGTCAGAGTGGAGAGTAACATACTGGATGTTTGGTTTTCTAGTGTAAAAAAACCAGCAGTAAAAACAAAATAAGCAGAGAACAAGAACAAAAGAGTCTTTCAGGCATTCTCTAAGTCAAAGAAGCAAAACAAAGACCCCAAAAATATTTAAAAAAAAATAAATATAAAGAGGCAGGAACCAAATTAAAATTAAAACCAACCAACCAAACTCCCCACAACAGCCTTTCCAGATTATCTTTAGCAAAATCCGGCAGATGAACATGCTAGGGCATTTAGGTAAATTCAAAGAATTTTTGAATTATTAATTCTTTCTAGATTCCAAGACCTTAACCTATTTTCTTTTTTCAATATGCTTTAGTTGGGTTTTTTTTTTTAACTGCTTTGACCTGTACACGGAATGAGATGAAAATTGTGATTCAACAACCAATAATCAGGTGTTGCCAAATTAATCAAAACTCCTCCTTTGTAGTTTCAAAAATTTATATCCCACCTTTACACTCTTCAAATCCACCAAGCGGACATGAGATAGATTTCTAAAGCTTTTCATAGACATCATAACTCAAGCTGTCAAAACAGCAATGCCTTCTAGGTAGCATCAGATTTGCTCCTATCCACTTCTGATTTGAAATAAGCATTTTCAGATATAGGCTGGATTTTACTAGAATTCCTAGTTATCAGAGTAAGCCATACAGCTAAAGTACATGGAAGCATAATTACTGCAAATATTTGTTATGCACTTGCTAAACCTAAAACTCATTTCGTTCTTATTTTTGTGACTCACACAAGCGGTGTTTCAGTGATTTCAAAGAAAACTCTCCCTAGTTAACCTGCAAGACTTTATTCTGGTCAGACAGACATTTCTTTTTAATTGAGTTTTCCTTGTAATTACATTTAATTCAGTTACAAGTTCTAGTATTTATAACCCTGGGATGTGTTCATTCAGCCTTCAGTCAAATTTAATGAAAACAGAAATTACTCAGCATGTTGCAGGTAAGTACTATTTTAAGTAAATACACAAGCTTTTATGGCAGAAAAAACACATTTACTTGCAAGAGTTGAGGTAATAGACCTGTCAGCTACTGTAGTAAGTAACCACTCTTCCAATTAAATACACTTTGAGTATTAAAGAGATTAAATAATCAAGCAAAGGTTTCAAAGGAAGAGAGCAAAGTAGTCCAGATGAATATTCAGTGAACTCCAAACTTCACCAATGTAAATTAGATGCAATGGATGAGATGCAATTTCCCCCACTGGATCCAAACCTCACTGATGCTAATCATTATGTAATGATCTCTCACTACATGTAATTCTAAATATGAACCATGTACTGACAGCTCAAAATGCAGGAAATCTGATCAACATATCCTCCCTACTCCACCATCCCATCAATACCCACATCTCTTCAAAGCACAGCAGAGCACATTGTGACTCTTCCTGAGTCCATTACCACTGGCTTTCAAAGATGTTTGGGTCACAGGTACAGCTTTTATAAGTTCTTCTTTGGAAAAACACACAGTGGTTCCTCTGGCACCATAAAAACTTAAAGAAACTTATTGTTCTCAATTTTCCTCATTAATCACCTCATTATGGCAGTCAGACCTGCTTTCCTAATATCTGGATCTAGTATCATATCTAAGCTGATAGCTTGTTTTGTTACTGCGATGCCTTTCAGAAGGCTGACCTAGAACAGAGGCTAGACAGGGTTAAGAATTAAGTAGGTATTTATTAAAAGGCATTAAAGGATACACCTTGGGCAGTACAAGAGCCTGGACATGGCCACACCCAAGATGGACCCAAAATGGTCACAAAATGGACAACTGGTCATGAGGTCTCACACTTTTACACATTTTGGTCCATTTACACATTGGGGTTAGTTGTCCAATTACAGCTCCAGGTTATGAAGTCCCATCCTCCTTGTTTGCTCTCTTCAGTCCAACTGTTGTTTATGCTTTTGGGCCTGAAACTTGTAACGATTGTCCTTGGTACCAAGCTGGAAAAGGATTGTTTTGTCTACCTACCCTGTGAAGAGAACTTACTGACACTTAACATGAAGCTCAAAACTACATACCTAGGCAGCACAGAATCTGAAAAACATGAAAGCTAAAACTCAAGGCATCATTTCCCCCCTACATCACTACATTCCCAACATCTCACATAAAACCCAGATGTTCTTCATTCCTAATGCAGTATTTTAAACTCTCAGGTCAGTAACTGGTAAAGATACATAAAGTTATTCTTATCATCAAAAATATTTTTACACACATTCTGTTTTGGACACAGAAGCTATGAGAATTAGCACCTAGACTAAAATGCACTAGAGGCTCAGTATGGTGTACCAATACCCATGTTATCACCAAGGTCTTCTCTCTTGCACCAATCTCACAATCCTCATTTTTATTTTCATGGCTTTGCATATGCCATTTTCTTCTGTTAAAGTCCCTAAATTTCCCTCACTTATCTACCCTTTAGTCTTATTCAAATCTAGCATTTGCTTCAGCTACATCTCTTAGGTCTGAAGCCCCTTTCTCACTTATGAGCTTATAAGCTCACTCTTATAATTGAAATACAATTAATTTTTATTTTCAAACTTCTCTTTAGAAGCCAATAATTTTGCCAAGTCTTTCAATAAATCGCAATGTGAAAAAAAAATTATAAAGCATCTGCTCTTTCAAAGTATTTATGTCCTAGCTGCCCACAGCTACAATAACTACCTTCAGGAAGATCTCAACTGTCTTATAAATGAAAAGCTAGACTTGCCAATACATCCAGCAATATATCCAGTTTATTAATTTGTTCGATAAAAGGGTGAGCAGTGACAGCACTGGGTGCACGGGGGTCTCTGCCCCAAGCAACACACAAATTCAGGTCTCAAAAGGTAGTCTCTTACGCCTTTCCAGACACTTCACTTCCTCAAATTTTCAGTTATTTTCTACTTGCTTTTCTTTATAATCAGCAGCTGTGGTGTTTGAAGATCTGTTGGGGAGGTGGTTCGAGATGGTCTTCTGATGTCTCTCCAGCCTCCCATTCTTCTTTTAAATTTTTTTTTTTTTCCACTAGCATTATTTTTGGTTATACAGTTTGTTTAAGCAAGCATATACATTCTGTTAGTCAGCATACATTTTGCAAGCCTTCTTTTAGTCATTTCACAACCTAAAGCTAGCATGTCTAAAAAAATGTCTTCATAGGACTTCTTCCTCAGTTATTACAAAACTCCAAGTCAGCATGTTTCAAAATACCTTTGTAGAGTCTCTCAGCTCATGTTAGTCCTACTTCTCCTTTTTGATTATAAATTCTTCCATCCTCAAAAAAAACAATTTATAGCTTGTACAAAGGATAGTTTGAAACTTATACTACAATGTAGTTTAAAGCTTATATTAATTACTTGCAAGTAATTACAATTTTGTTGTTAAAACAAACTAACAAAAAATTAGCTAAAAGCTTATTGTTATATAGTTACCTTGTTAAAACCTACTTCCATGCCTTACTTTAGCTGATTCTTAAAACTTCTTTATAATAATGCCATGGTCCCTGTCCACACTGCCTGCAGACACACATACATAGGCAGGCGCTATTCGATTGACACAAATCACAATCTGAATCCTCACAACTGCATTTCCTGTGAGTTTCTTTTATTTTGCAAGGTTTCCTATGCTAATAGCCAGCACAAAACCTTTAATGCTACCCAGGAAAGCTCTTGTGGAACATCTACTAGGGAGTTCTATACTTTCTTCATGCTCACTTCTTGTGCTCCTGAAGTTTTCAGTAGGAATTGCTAGAAAGCACAGCTATGCCAGTAGTGTACTGAACTGCCCAAAACAGGCTCAGATAAGATAAACATGATTATAGATAAATGGATAGCATTTTCATGAGTTCCAGTTATTTTTCTTTTCCCAAAATGCCAGGCTCCATGATATGCCATTCACTTCTGCAGTTTTAATTCAGTATGCTAAAAATTGCTTAAGCATTAGTGCCATTTTGAATCTGGAACATTTCATTTGCAAGAGGTTTTTTGCAGTCTCTCTTGGACTGAAATAAAGTAGTCCTTCCTGACAACACACATGTAAGGCTAATCATAGATACAGACCAGTGGTTCTAAGCCACAATAATATTTGCACAAAACCCATGCCTTGCTTCCAATTCTAACTTCTTAGTAATTGAAATAAAGCTGCAAAACTATTGAAGACAAATTAACTATCTCAGTAGAAAAATCCTATGAAATAGCTGCAGTTTTGGATAGAATTTGGATGATCACTGATGCAATATTTCCTGCAAGTGTCAGTATCTTTTCTACTTTAATTTCTCTGATGTGTTGCCTATGCTATTGGCAAATTTTCTTTCCTTTCTCTTTGCTCCTTCAAAGGCAAAACAAGACAGCCCGATTAGAAGGCTGTATCATCCTTAAACCTCATAATATTCCCCCCTGGACAGTACACTAATCAGTTTAACTATTATTGATTTAACTTTGCTGTTCCACAACAGAGAAGTTTACAGAACAGTGTAGCTTTTTTTCTTATGTCAAGGTACAAAGGAATGTACAAAAAGCTTCATTATTATACCAAAATTAATCTATTCAAACAAAGAGAACTGCACATCATTCATTTCCAAGAACTGTGCATCATTCATTTCTTCACTCACTTAGCAGGCATCCAACAAAACATCTAGCTCCATTTTCTTAGGAAAAGAATCAGCAAAAAAGCACATGAATGTCCTATTCAGCTGGTTCAGCAAAGTCTGCTGGTCTTCCTTCAGCTGCTAAAGAAAGTGTGCTGAGCTCATACAGGGACCTTAGCTGAACAACAGACTTGCTTTCGAAGTGCAAATCTGCTGGCTTGTGTCAGGGAGAGGAAGAAACAAATATGGAATGGAAGAGTAAGACCAAAGTCTAGAAGGAATCTTAAGAAAACACAAATGCTTTCAAAAACCTCCCTGCTCACACCACTCAGTGAATGGAATTATCCACTTAACTTCCACAGGGAGAAAAAAAAATATTGTAAGGGGAAAGAGAGGTTGATCAGAGACTTAAAAAAAATGGTTGCTACTCCCAAGGGAAAAAAAAATTCCATTCTATCACCACTCCCCAAAGAGTATCTTCAAGGACTTGTTATGTAACTAAGCAGAGGCTATGGGACAGCCCCACCCTCTCAAAAAAAACCTCCACATTTAGGACTGCTTCTGCACAACATTATTTGTTATCTCAATTTTCAACAGGAACTGCTCATTTTGTCAGTCTTACTGATACAGTATTGAGAGACTGTGTAAATCTCACAACCATCTGCAAAACTCAGATACTATCCTGCGATTCCCAGGGGACAAACAAAACAACAAACCAACATTTCCCCTTGCCAAATCCAAAAAAAGCCAAGTTCAAACAGTCCTAAATTGCAAGAACACAGCTTGTACTTCCAGCAACTCACAAATCAATTTCAGTTTCTGGTAAGGTCTACCATTTCTCAGAAATCAAGTTTCAAAACTCCTTAAAATCTGAACAGTTTAATGGTTTGCAAGACACAAGTACTCTTCCTCAGAGATGCTGATACCACTTATGCCTTCAATAGTCAGCAAGTTGGCATCATGAACCTGACTGGGTCCTGTCATCTGTTCCTGAAATGTGGCCGTTCACACATGCAAGGACAAATTCCAGCTAAGCCTTGAAACGAGCAGACCGCACAGTGAAGGACCTCTAAGACACTGCTCCTGAAGCAAACAGCTCGAGAGCCAATGATACAGTCCCCCCTAAATTGGGAAAGTGAAAAAGAGGAATTTTCAAAATAAAATGAGACCACCATCCAAATATTAGGGCATGAGTTGGAATAAAAGCCACATTGATACATAGCAACCTTACTGTTCTATTCTATTCTACTATTTTTATCAAGAACGCAGCAACATACAAAGAGGATGAATTATTTACAATATGTCCCTGGAGTTTAATGAAAAGTTCATGAGCAAAAAGATGCATGAAATACTCCCTTGCTAGTTAAAAATGAAGACATGCAATATTTTGCTAACAGAGATTGTTCAATTGTGATCCCACACAGATGTGACTATTAATTTGGTATTGCTTCCACACTAGCCAGTACTTGCCTCCTGAAAAAAACATCATGAGGAAAAAAAACCCCCAATATTACTATTCTTCCAGAGAAGCAACTTTTATAAGGTGGCTGTTACTTGACTGCAAAAGGAAGAAGAGGCAGACTACATAAGTAAAACAAACAAGAAATCCCTCCAATATACCATCCTTCCCAATTAGCATTTTGAGCCTCCTCCTTGGCAACAGGACTCCAGCTATTTAATGCCATGTTTTGTCAGTAATGTGATAAAGTCCACTGAGATCTCCTGGTGTAGTGTTACTCAAGTCTCTGCTTCCAAGAATGCTTTAAGTACCCTATCCAAAGTATAAAAATTCCCATTTTAATGCCTATTCCTTACTTTTATCTTTTGCTATTAAGATGCAAGTTTATATCAACAATTAAAAATAGTTTAGGGTAAGATAACCACCTTTTCACATGCATTTTCAAACATTTTAACTGATTTTCTAGAGTAGCTACCCCATGTGATGTCTAAGTACTTGAGGTTCTGTCTGCATATGAAGAGCAAAAAGGCCACACAGCAAGAAGCCAAGGATATGCACACACATCCAAAAGGTGTTAACTTGATTATATGTTAATGCACTTACCTGATTTGATTTCTCTACTGTGCTACTGGGAACCTCTGTGGTATCCTTCACAAAAAAGTTATCTATGATGTGTCTCTCTGCACATTCCTGACCACAAATTGGACAGCGGATAACACCGACTGGGGGGGAAAAAAAAAAATCTGATTATGCTTGCACAAACTAAGATATATTAAACAACTTCAAAGACAACTTGCAAGGATAAGTATTTTTGAAAGGATGTTGTAATACCTTCCTGTCAATAATGTGTGAGCAAGAAAAAGCAAATTCTTATTTATCACTGAAATAATGTTTACCTTTTCTCCCCTGGTGACATATTCTATCACCCAAGGTTAAACACTTTCTTGTTTCAATGCCATAAGGAATTTGCCTTAATCTTGTAAAAAAATAATTCTTTTACTATAATGGGAATTCCCATTGACAGTTTGTTGTTATAGACTGGATTAAAGCAAACACTTCGTGTGGAATAGTAATAAGTGACACTGAGTGGTATTACATTTACATACACACAGACACCAGTAGTGTGACGTGACTGACCTTCATCCATGTCATATGAGAACACAAATGTAATACATTCAAAACTAATGAGGTGAGTTGGAGAGAGGAAAAACGGACCTGTATTAACATCATGACTACCTTCACATTATGCAAGGGAAAGCAAAAAAAACTTAGGAATAAATAAGCAAGGCTCTCTCCCTCCTCTCCTCTGCAAGACACAATTCTAAGACAGAAACATACTTCGGCTTCAGGTTGAAGAAAGCTGGGAACCAGTAACACAGAAGGATAAACAATTAGTCTTCTGAAGAGAATGGAAAGGACAAAGTTCAAAACTTGGGGTTGAGCTGTGAGTAGACTAGGTTGAAATGGACAAGATCTATATAAACATTTTTGAGCAGACACCTTTTCTAGCTGCAGAAAATAAGAATGTCTTATTAGCACTGAGGTTTGTTTTTAACATCCAAGAAAAACCTCTAAAATGCTAGGCACTGACATCTTGCTCAAAGAAAATTACCATAGTTATTACAACCAGAAAAGAAAGCAATTGAAACTAAGTTAGGCTGAAATAATCATTTAGGACATGGAAGCCACATGCAAAAAGCCTACAGTCATGCAAGTCTGCACTGACACAGATTCTAGACCTTCAGCTCCCATCTGAGATGAGACATAGATTTAGGGCCTTAAAAAAGATCTGTTTAACCCAGTGAGTTCAACACCAGTATATAACTCACCATTTGCATATTTAACTAAACCAGCGTGGGCTTAAATCTGTTCCTGTTTCATTTTTACAACAAAATGTAGAAGTACAGAAACTATTAAATATTTCACTTTCTGCAGAAAGACTTAATTCCTCACCCTAAGTGCTTCATACAAGATTTAGGTAACTTTTTCATAAGATTCTACCAACAGATGCTCAAGATTTAACTGACAACTCAGGATAATGCAGTGCTCTAATAAAAGTCCACCCATTTTACTAAAGCAATTCTTCATTTTGGAAAATCAGCAAGAAGTTTTTAATTTTTTATCCAGGCATTTCACTTTCATCTGAACAGCTATGATGTTAAGCCTGATTTTACTCTAAGTGCCATTTCACCAGTCTGCATTTCAATACACATTTGTGCAGCTTCCTTTGATACACAAATTCCATTTTTTGGTGGCAATTTTTGTAACTTTTTTTATACCATCATCTGCAAGGATAATTGAGAAATTAAGTTCTGGTAAGGCAAGAAGCTAGCAAAACTGCAAGTACTGAATTTCTCCTGAAATTAAGCAAATCAATTTACTACAGTCAAGAGTGAGTACACCTCGTAATACTCAAGCTACACACTTTCCTAAAAGTACTATTTTTTACATTTTTCAACAACACCAATTACAAACTACCCTCTCCCTGTTCCCTCACAGCTCATTCTTGACCCTGACAAAGCATGGTGCTCTGGGCTGATACCGAATTAAGAAAATTAGGAAATTAATATTTTAACTAGAATAGGACCTTCTTATGAGAAAATTTAAGGTAAAGAAAATATAAAATAATTTATGGTAGGAGCAATGTGGGCGATTAACAATTACTAGGTGTGGTTAACAGTTAAAAGCAAGTCTATACACCTCTTGCTTGTAGAAGGAATGTAAAGTACTCAATGACTGCCAAGGTGAAATGAATAGTCCAAGGATATATATAATATATCATTCCACTTGTCTTAATGCTTAGTTAGAACAGGACCATGTATCATTTACTTGTCTTAAGTTGTGTGTGTAGAAGGAGACAAGAAGTGTGGACTATTGTGGAAAGGAAGGGTCCGTGTCTGCACCTGCAGGCAAGGAATATTAACTATGTCCAAGAGGACCAGGAGAGCTGCCAACAGGACACAGTTGAAAAGTTCAAGCCCGAGGAAGAGGAATATTTCATTAAAAGGACCCCACACCCATTTCAAAAGAAGAACTGAGCATGCCCAGAGGGGCGTGGAGCTCATTACCATATGGGGCAGAAGCAGGTGGAGTCAGACAATGAGTATGTATTTGTATATGTACAGTATAATTGTGAATATGTATTTGTATATGTATAGTGTAATCCTATGCATATGTGATACTTTGGGGAATAAATAGAGAATAAGGGGCAGTGGTGGAGTGGTCTTTGAGAGGTGACTCCACGTGCCGCACAGCCGTAATAAAAAAATAAAGCATACCACTTTTTAACTTTAAATAGTTAGAGAGTTCTTTGGCTGTGATTTTACTGCTTCAATACCAAAATCAGCTAGGGAGGAAACTTTTGAATAGAATTTTAAGTATTAAAAAGCAGGAATTTTTTATTGCAGCATGCTGGATACACAGAGGGTGTTTCCTCTAATCTCCTCTAATCTGACGTGTTGCAAAACTTTACAAAAAAGATATTTATTCCATCACAATCATAAACATTGACTACAGTGTACTTCCTGGCTGATACATACACATCACTTCTAGAACTAATTTACACATCCAACTCTTAGCAGGAGTCCTTATATGTTACTACAGGGTCCTCTGAAGGGGTCTCTGGTGATTGTATTCACTGAGAGCCCCCAGTGTTAAAGGGGATCTTTCCTTGAATTTCTCTTAAGGCATGAACGTTGCCTCCTTTTATGTAACTACCATAAAACTCACTGTATTCTTCATTATCTATTTATCCCCTGGTTCCAGCTACATAGAGCATCCTGTGTGTCTACTTACACATTCTTTTACCTACTTCTTTAAAACACATTGTTCCCTTATTTGGTAAGTACGGCATCATTATGTTCTGTTCCTTTTGTCAAGGTTAACACAGGTGTCCGAGTCAGTCTTTGCATGTGTTTGGGTGATGGGCATGGACACAGAGTGAGACTGGCAAACCAGTTCAGACATGGATGTATTTTTCCTGCTCTCCCAAACTTCACTTTCATCCCCTGTTCTGCTTCACTGACCAAATGCACTACTGACTACTGTGAAGCAACACGCGAAGCAGCACAAGGATGGGAAGAGGGTAACACCACCACTGAAGATTAAACACGGAGCCACTGAACCAGATCAGCAGCCTTAACCAGGCTTTGTAAATCAGCTTGAGCTGAAAATATGGAAGACAAGGAAGGGGAGGCAAGAAATTAGGAAACATACTAACATAAACCAAATGTTTCATATGCCTTTTCAGCAACATAATATTGCCAACTACCTGTTCAAGAAATCACTTAGAATTTCTAGTATTAGATGGGAAAAGGAAAAAAAAAGGAAAAATTGCCTACATCTCTCAAAATCTTTATGAATTTTCTTTTCTAGAATTCCTTAAGCTGTCTAGCCTTATGTCACAGGTTTCTTCTGCCAGTGTGTGAGAGTAAACTTGCTTTTGTTATAATCCTGGATTGATGACTGCTACACAAATCAGTTTTAACCCAGAATTAGTCAACCTTAGGATGATGAATTTAAGCAAAAGATCTCAAGTATCAGGGTTTATATTTATCAAAGTAATTCTATAGAATTTTTATTATAATAAAAATTATTTATCATAATAAATTATTCTTACCATAATAAGATTCTTATTTCTTTTTAATGGAGCAAGCACAGGAAGACAAAAACATATGACTTAAATTGAGAGGAGATTCATAACCATCATCATGGTAATTGTGAGGATAGTGAGTGAGTAGATCCCACATTTTTATCTGCTCCTCTGTTCCAGGTGTAAGGAGTTAAAAATACACAATTGTCTGTCTCAAACATTGTTACAGCCACAGAAGGACTTTGCCATGAGATAAGCATAGAATGGAGTGACAGGACAGTGCTGTCTCCAGGCCTGGCAGAGGTGAGGCCTGGTTAGCTCATTCTGGGTAATGCACCCAGACAAAACTTCCCCCTGTGGAAACATGTGTAAAGAAGCAACTGCTCCTATGCATATCACAGGTCAAAGATCACCCCAAATTCTGGCACAGCTGAAATCTGTGACCACCACCAACCACTGAAGCTACCTGAATAATGCCTCACTGGATACCTGGAACTTTGTAAGATAAGCCACCACAGTAGCAATGTGAGATAAAGGGGGTGCTATTGTCTGAGTGCTATCTCAGATCTAGGGGGAGGCTAACAAAGCTGGGGGAGAAGAATGTATCACCAATGAATGCAACTGCATAATTTATGGGCCACAAGGAAAGCCAGCTCAGCAACGGTGCTGAAATCAGCTTGGATTTGGTAAAACGTAGTTCCGGCAGGGGGAGATCACGACCACCAACTCAAACAAAGGAGAAGACTGAATACAAGGACTAATTAGCTTTAGAAGCAAAAGAATAAATTAACCAATAGAATAGTAGAAGTGTGTAGTCAATGAGCAGTAATTTGTTTCTTTGCTAATATGTATGAATAGTGAAAAGACCTGGAGAGTCCCACTACTGAGAAGACCAGGGTGAAGAAGGATCAAAAGGACACCACTAGATCTACAGGTGGCGACTATCTTCTACCTGATCTCTCTCTTTCTGCTTTTTTCCATTTCTTTCTACCTTTCTCCCTGTCATCCCATGTTAAATAAAATCTGCATTATTGACTTCAGTGTACGATCTTGTTTGAACCTTAATTTGGGCAGAGGCACATCTCAATAGCTGGATCTTAGCATCAAGTGCATTGTTTTTTCAGCTGTAAAGGGAGCTGGATCAAGCACATGTGGCTCTTGAACAGGAGAAGTAGAAGAGACCTCCACTCTTCTTAGCAGCATTCTTACAAAAAGCAAGCAGTTGTGGAATCTCACATTCAGATTTTGCTTGAACCAGGACAGGACACCACAATACTAACAAAAGTAGCAATGCTGGCTCCCTTGTTCATTCATTTCTGTCCCATGACAACAGAAAGATTTGTGCTGCCACACAGTGAAGCAGGGATTAGGGATTGTAATATGGATTCAATAGGGAGAAAGAAGTGTTTCCCCCCACTGGCTACAGGCTCATAACACATGCACCTCTTTGAAGGAATTTTAGTTAGGAAAAATCAAGGCCCATTCTTAGTCTTTTTCACAAGTTATATGCTGCATTTGCAAGGGCATCGCAAGCCATTCAGCAGAATGGATTTATA